ACAAGTTTTTCTAATAATCATCAACCACAACCCTGACCACAATAACATCAAAATATATTTTTCCAAAATTTTGTAATCAATGTGTTTTTGATTAGAAATACCAAAGATATCCGCTTTTCTAAGGTAAATAATTTTTAATCGAAACGTTTCCGGTTCAAACATCATATTAAAGCGCTAATTTTAAATTCTAATCAAACATTACTTGAGAAACAACAACGCTTTTAGAGATGTGAAAGGATGTAATTTGTCAACACGTTTTTTTGTTGCGGAAATGTGAATTTAAATTTTGTTTTACAACATACTTGTGTTGGTTTGAATTTTAGAATTTTTACACCAGCTCACAAAACAAGTTTGTATTTGCAGGTCAAAACTGACCTGACTTGTTCTGTAGAAAAAAAAATGGTTTAAAAAGAATTTAATAAAAAATATTAAATAATTGTTATTTATGTATCAAGAAAATAAATATTTTAATCCCGAGAATGTAGGTAATGTCAGAGGCGACCTAAGGGCGCCGACTAAATCATAAGAAAATGTCAAATAATTTGTCAAAAGTTCCAGTTCATTCAGTTGGAATTTTAGGACTAAAAATTGTACCAAAAAAAAAAAAAAAAGCCTCACTTTATTCCCTGTAGGTAGGAAAGGTTTTTTACAATAAAAAAATATATTGAAATAAATAATTGCTAGAATTTGCCAATATCTGCTTTACAAATTTAAGATCTTAATCGATAAAACTTGACGCGATCTTAATTTCTATGATAAGGTTTCACAATAGATGCAGATTAAAGTAAAGCAATTTTAAAATAAAATCATATAAAATTCCTATATTTTCAAGGTTATTGAGTGATTTTTATCTGAAAAAATGTTACTAGTATCAAAGTTTACAACATCTTATGACTAATTAATCATTTGAAAATTTCATGATTCTAGAAGTGATATTACCATAAAGGAATAATTTTTAAACAAAAAAGCGGTCTGTGTACCTACTCGTATTTTGCTTTTTTCTTTAAACATGTAAAACATGAATCGATTTTTTTAAATTTATTTCTACATACTCGTATCTTATTAGTGTTATTATTCATAAAAAACACATTGTAAAATTATTTGTTTATTAAAAATGAGTAAAAAATAGTAACTTTAATATTTTGTTGGAAAGATACAAAATACAAAATTAAATTATTAGTTTTCTTCAAATGATTGCGCTATCTGCTTTACAAAATATGTTGTAACATTTGCTCAAATTGCCAAATCTATAATAAGTCACACATTATTTTAAAAAAAGATTAATTAATTTATATTCTGATAGTCTAACGAAACAAAAGTTTAATCATAAATTAATTCAGACGACGTGATAGGTACATCCGTGAAAGTCCAAAGTTTAAAAATGTTGGAAAAATTTTCACAAATTGTTACTTTTTAAATATTGTTTCAAAAATTAATGAACATACCTTTTTAAAATATTTGTCACATTTGTTTAGAAAAAAATCCAAATTTAATAATATAATTTAATAAAAATACAATGTAACCAACTGTATAATAACCTCGTTGTTGATGCACCTATCTTTCTGAAGTAAAAAATGTTGTTACAAGATGTTTCAAAAAAGTCTAACTAATTGTGTTCAAATTTGTACATATTTGAGCACTTGGTTTTGCGAAATCGATATTAAATCTTAGAAACAATAAAATTTATTCGATTTTATTCATTTTTCCCTTTTCTTTTTCGTGGCAAGAAAAAAAAACGTTATAAGAATGGTTGGTCTTTTTTGTAAATTACTAATCACATTGGCAACTTACGTAAGCATCGATCCCACATAATCATGCATCACATCTGTGATAATGATTCGAAAAAATCGTTAATGGCAAAAACATTGCGTCCATTTACACTTAGTGTTTAACGATTTGATCTCGGCGTTATTTTGGATCCGCAACAATGTCTTTATCAGTCAACATTTCTAAGTCTTTCGATACACTTCCAAGTTCGAAGTACACAGTCATTAATCCAAAGATAGATCACCACAATCAGAAAATAACGTCATCCCCTTGTCTATTTGTGGGCATTCCACAGGACGCATTAAATACTTGGACTTGAAGTGTGAGTCATCAGGCGGGGTGACCAACCAGTCCTTATTTATCGGACCATTTTTGTCCTGTTTGTAAAGGAAAATAACTTGTTTTTATCGCAACACTAATTTGGCTAAGTTTATTGTGCTCTTAAGATAATATGACTCGAAACATTTACAAGATGAGACTCATTAGTACATTTTTGTATTATTTTTCAGTCGATGTTTTTTTCACGGAATACATTACAGACTTGCTTGAGTAATATGCTTTATTTGTCTCACCTCCCACATTACACAAATGCGATAATGGGCTATTTTGGGATTGATTTGTTTAATTATTTCAAAAACATATTTCAAAATTTATTACTAAAATGACCCTGTCTCAAGATTATTATATAGACATTATTTCCAAGATTAAAAATTTACTTGAAGCCTTAATTAAATGGATCAAGGCACTAAACTGAATATTTTTTAATCAACTTGGACTTTGAGAATTCAGAAAGCAATATTTTACTTTGATGCGTCTTCCAGATCTTCAGGTGGTGGGTGTTTCTATGAATTAAACATGTTGTTTTTGTTTCAAAAGTCACTTCAGTAGGTTGTAACTTCCGTCTCAACTGCTTATCTCGCCTGTCAGAATCGATATTTGTCACTTTGAATCAAAAACAGATTTATTTTTCTGTTGTTTATAAAAAATAGACTATTAGTGTGACCGCAATAATTAAGAAAAACTCACGCCTCACGGTGACTAATATTATTCTGATATTAAAAATTTGTATGTTGCGTTAGGTCAAGTAAAACAACTGGGTTAGGCTGGGTTGACTTCATCAATAACAAGGTCTCCCCTCTATTAATCAGGTCGGGGACAATATACGAAGAAGAGAAATAACACATTAATAATTATATCACTGAAGCCGTGATTAAAATCAAAGAGTTGGCAAATAGCGCCCACCGTAATTTATGCTGGGAGAGACAGAATGGCAACAATAAAACAGTTAGACTAATGTCGGTAACGATGCTAATAAGTTGTTACTACCTGTTAGTAGGTAAGTGCACACAATTTTATTACAGTGCTTTAATGTATGTGCAAATTTCAAAGTCCACATTTTCATTCTAACTGGAATTACACATTTTTATTGTCATATTTATTAAACTGGGTGATGATAACAGTGGCGTAGAAAATTCTTTTTTGGAAAAAATTTGTTTAGGAAGAAGTAATGACTGCAATGAGGTTTGGCACAAAAAGGGAGATATGGATTCAAACTGCTGTAGAAAAGCAAATTTTTGAAAAATTTTGTCATAAATCGGAAGAATTGAAAATTTTAAAATGAAACCAAATGCATTCCCAGAGGTCAAAGAGAAACATAAAAGTGCAAAAACGTTGTAGAAAAGCGTGGTGGTCCCGCTTTCCTACAGGTAGGGTTTGCACCCCGCAAAAGTCAGCAATTGTTCACTAATTCAAATTCAAATACTAATTTACCTAAATAAGCGCGAACTTTAAAACGTAAACATGTTCTAATAAGTAGGTATAAGAAAGAAAGAACGAAGAAGAGGGCAAAGCATAATAAGAAAGAGAAAGATCATAAGAACAAAAACGTTAAAAGATGGCGGGCGCTATCTTAAACGTTTAAAGAGTTAAAAAAAATAAACAAAAGGTAAGTTTTGTAATAAAAAATTTCACATTTTTATTTTGAGAGCATTCTTAATTGCAATCAAATTTTAATTCACGATTAATTTGATGACAAGTTAATTCGGATTTGTTAGGTCCTGTCACTTTTAAACAAAAGTGAATTTTCGGTAAAAGTTCATGTTTCGAAGTATCAAGATGCTACCCATAGCCAATCACATGCTAGCATCCTGACTTCATATCAGAGGAAGCGGAGGATTGTAAAAGGTGCAAAAAATGGTGAACGTGGAATTGTATAATATTCGAACAAAGACCTTTTACAATAAAACTGTTACGAAATGGGTTTTTGTGGATCTTGTCGTTTTTGAGGGAATTAATACGGTAACGAACAAATTAGTCTTAGCCTTGTTCCCGAACGCATTGCATTAATTGAATTGTAATAATTGTCCAAATAAATTACTTATTTCGTGGTTCAGTGCGAAATGAGTGCTGTAGACATTAAGTAGTGCACTATTTTTAAAATTTCAAGTTATTAGTGAGTGCCAATGGGGCAAATGAGGAAGCAATCGTGCTACAAGGATCCGGATTAAAGGGTTAGTCAACAATACCTTTTAATTTTTTAGAAAAATCACATTTAAATTTTATTTAATATTTTCAACTGATTTAATAACATATTAAATTGATTTTGTGTTTTTTTATTTCCAGTAGGTCCGTTTAAGAAGCATATGCAAATTTCTACAAAGGGTAGCAGAAGAAGATGTCATATAAAGGTCAGTAGATTTTGAATTTTACTTTTTTGTTTATCGCCAAGGGAAGTGGGTGAATTTGTGGTTTTTGAGTACAACAGTAAGTTATTTAGTGAATTATGAATAGAAAGTAGTTGTGTTTTAGATAAAATTATTATTTCTCAAATACTTTTTCAAAAATAGAAGACAAGGCTACTACCAAACAATTTAAAAATAATTAATTTCAAATTTAATTATTGAGATTCTAAAAGCAGGTCTTAAAAACTCGTGATATTGTTAGGAAATGTCTCAACATTAAAGAAATTCATTTTAATAACATCTAAAATAATAACTTAATTAATAATAATTCATAAATTGCGAGGCGAAAGATCTGCTGGTATAGTGACGCTAGATTGGGGAATTTAGAAGATTTTTCTTACATTAATCTCATTTCAAAATTCATCAACATTATTACTTGATAGCTATTACTGAGAACGCATTCTACATTTTAAAATTGGGTTTGTTGTGAAAGCGAGAATGTAGAATCGCGAGAATACACGTACTAGAGAATTCTTCCAGTATTACCAGTTCTTTGGTTATTTCCAGCAAAATACCCCAAGAACCGTATGACACTATGATCTTTTGTCGTAAGATCTCTGCTGGTAACTAAACCACAGATTCTAAACTACTAAAGGTTGGTAATATTATAGAAATTCTCGTGCGCCTACATTCTCGCAAGCGGCAAGCCTATTTTCTCCCATGCGCAATGAGCATTAATAGATCTCAGGAAGTTCCACCAGCTGTTTTATTATTAATGTGAGGAAATTCGTAACCATTGTAGATATATAAAACTTTTTCCATCACAATGGAAAATTCAAATTTGTCATTCAAAGGAGGGAATCCCGGAGCTGTGCAGTATGGTAACTTTATAAACTATTACCAATTTCATCCCCCTGAAAATCGTTTAAAACTGTTACCAACCGACCTATGGCCAGAAAACAAACCGTTCCATGCTTTAGATTTGGGGAGCAATGCTGGGGTGCGTCAAAAATCAAATTTTAATTTCTAGCGTAAAACGTGAATTTTTAGGACCTCACCATTGAACTCTATAATTTTCTTAAGTGGAAGGTACAAAATTGCCAGATTCTGGGTGTCGATATTGACCCAACTTTAGTAGAAAGAGCTAATGAAAAAAATCAAAACAAGGAGAATATACAGTTTCATTGTTTAGACTTTATGAATGATAAAGGTCCAATTAAAGATTTTTTAAAAAAACGAAAATTAGAAAAATTTGATGCTGTTTTTTGTTTTTCTATAACAATGTGGATACACTTAAATTATGGCGACGACGGTTTAAAACGTTTTTTAAATGAAATTTGTAGTTTAGGAGACTTTGTGATAATTGAACCTCAACCGTGGAAATGTTATAAAAGTGCTGTTAAACGCTTCAAACTTTGTAATGCAGTTTTCCCTCTCTTTAAAAAATTACAAATAACTCAGGAAGTGGAAAATGAAATTGAACAACACGTCCTCACGAATTGTAAAGCTATAAAATTGTATGAGAGTGAACGTAGTGAGTGGGGTAGGAAGTTACTAATTTTCAAATGTCCTCTAATTACTTAATCGAATTAAATAGTATTTAAAAAAATACATACAAGTTTTTTTCTCAATATCAACAAAACAAAAATAAAGTGTTTATATCTATGAAATTAATTGTGCTGAAGTACTTTATAGGTTTTTACTTTTTAATATAGTAGCACGCAATAGTGAGCAAACATTGTTTATTTAAAAGGTCACAATCAATGTTTAGACATTTATTTCAGAATTACAGTGCATCTAAATAATGAAAACTCCAAAAATTATGGATGTTACGCCGACAGTATATTTTAGTTTAACTCCTATTTGCCCTATTTCCCCATCCTCTTCTGTGTTCATCTTTATATTCATCCATTCGTCTCATCCTTTGAATATATTCTGGATCGTCATTTTCAAGGTTTTTTTCTTTTTCTTCTGCTTCCTTTTCTTCACTGTTTAAATCCAATCCAGCTAAAGCAGATTGTTGCAAACTCAAGGGACCAGTAGGTTGTTTAGAAGGATCAGGAAAAATTCCATCCTTTATCCTTTTATCATAAAATTCTTGTACAGTCATTGTCGGCAAGGAAGGATATCCAGCACCAAATACTGCTTTCTGAACTGCATCCTTTGTAATAATTATGGGCTTAAGTGGGGTAATTGGTCTCCTTGGTTCTGGCTTCTTTTCATCCTTTTTTACAGTGGCCATGTATTCTAGTAATGGCTTCTCCATTTCTATGCTATTTAGTTCATCCACTGCTTCATGAATAAATGACTTTATCATAGTTAGGAAATAATCTCTTTTAATTTCTTCATCAGCATGCTCATTCTCCATATTCGTTTTTAAATTAGCTAATTTTGATTTCAATTCTTTTTGTTCCTTGTACCTCTGTATTTTGCTTGCCCTGGTATTTACTGATACTGCGATTTTATCGAATTCATTCTGTGGTTCCTTTTGTTCTTTCTTTTCATTAAAGACATAATTACTTAAACCATAATCATTGCACCTACTCATAAAATCTTTATAATAAATTTCGGCAACGTCTATGATTTCTTTACGTTCACCATTGGTTAATTTTAAACTTAGAGAACCTAATAGTGCTGGAAGAAGTAAATACTGTAGATCATTTGTTGCTACTTCTTCAATTCCTTCATTGGTGCTAAAGATTCCGGCATATGATACCAAATGAGTGGCTTGTTCAAAAAGGCTCATTGCTTTTTTTACATTGCTCTAGAATTAAAAAAAATCAACATTTAACAAGACTCTAGTGAATGCAATTACCTGTACTGTAGAACTATTTGTATGTTCACTGCTGTTACAAATTGAGTTGTATAAATCTAAACCCTGGTTAAATACAGTTAGAAGGTTTGTTTCTTCAGGTTCATTAGAATTTGCCATTTTTTATAATTTATAATTTGCATTTAATAAAAACAACTGTCACAAATGTCAAAATTCAGTGTAGCCAACAAAAAATTTAATGGCAAATTTCTTTTGAATTGCGTCTTATTTTAATCTACAACAATGCCAGTTTTTTGTTAAAATGAGTGATTTTAATAAGAAATAAATTGCTTTCGAATTAATTAGAATTTTACGATTGTCTTATTATGTTCCAACATGTAATGTGAATTTTACTAATAGAAAAAATCAAGAGTTTAAAAATTTGATGTAAGATGTAATCATTTTGAGTAAAAAATGCTACCTTCATCGTTAATGATTTTTGTTTAAATTGTAAAAAAATCGTTCTCACATTGGCAAACATGCAACATTTAATGTTAGTTTGTTGGCGACATTGATGCAATTTAATATCGTCCTCCGAAAAAGTTATTGTTTAAAAGGAATTTCACACGTCCTTGTAGCCTGCTTTTCCTTTCAAAAAATGAAGCATCTCGCTAATTGGCTTTTAAGTTTTTTTTATTTTACTACATTGCCAACACTGAATGTTTAGATTTGTCATATTGACAACATTGAATCATTAAAATTTCTTTAGATGACAACACTTACTATTTTGGTTTTATTCAGTTAATAACACTGTAAAGTTCAATGACCTCAATGCAGTAAAAATTAATATTTATATCCATTTATTGATTCCCAACGAAAATCTTAGATACAATAATGGTTACATTACGACTAATCAAATCAAAAATGTGTAACCTAAAATATACAAATTTTAGTAAAAATTAAAGATAATTTAAACACTACAAAATGTACGCCTACAAAAATTTATTAACAATCACAAATTTTGCATCAAATACTGTGATAAAAATAGTCACTTTTTAGATGTAGATTCACTTTTAACTTTTTTTGAATCAGGTCCACCGTCACTGTTCATGTTATTCTTGTGTCTGAGAATTCGCTTCGCTTTAAGATAAGAAAGCGTGTCTTTACTGCTTTGTTTGGGTAAGTCACCAATATCTGGTTTCAACAATGTTGAGTTTATTACAGTCTGTTCAGTAATCTCCGAATTAACAACACCTTCGTTTGATGGTTTTAAGATGAAATTTGCTTGGGCTTCTGGATCCGGTTCTCCTGATTCACTTGAGTCATCACTCGTCGCCTTTCCCACTGGTGGGACATAATCCTCTTCATCTTCGTCTTCCATCACTTCGTCTTCGTCCATAAATTTATCTTCTTTTTCCATGAGTGCTCGTTCCGTTAGTTCACCTAAGAGTACGTTTACCATTTATAAAAAAAAAAACAATACAATACATACCATTTTGGGTTGGGAATATAAGATCTGGCAATATGTTCAAATCTTTCCCAGCTTCCTTCATTAGTGACTGAATTAAAAGTGAAATATCTTCTCTTTTTTTCGTCACTGTAATTTCTTCAAACCAAGTTTTCAAGTGTGAAATGGGTATGTGATAGTCTTTAATTGGATCCTAAAATGCCTCATTTTTGTCACTTATGTTCTTTAAAATAGTTTCCACTATACTTACATTGAAGAACTGTTCGACATATTGTAACAAGTATAATCCACAATCTGTAAAATTAGTTTGTTGAGGAACTTTCGGACATGCACCTTTGATAATATCTTTTGTAAATATCTTTTCTTCATTGAGTTTTGCCTTATGTTCACATGTTAAGTAGTCTCTAAGTGTGGCCACGACCCTACTGCGACTTGCCCCCGCCAAAGAATCAAATATTAGAATGCATGGTCTAAAAATAATAAACAACAATTAAACACAATAAATAAAAAGTTTACTATAGTTGGCAAACACTAACACTATTGTTATAAGGTTGGCAAACATTATTTTTTAAAACGTCCACACGTGGTAACACTGCATTGTCAAAAACAAGTTTATTTATTAAGTATTAATCAAATAAATTCAGCTATACATAAACTATTTATTGATATAACCCAAAAAAGCCTGCTCAGACAACTCACTTGATTGTTAAAATATAAAACATCTGGTAAAAATTTATAATTTGAAATTCTATGATTGAAAACACTGAATAATTTTAGAATGTTTGAAAGATGGAAGAGTAAAAAGTAAATACAATTTTTACATACTTCTTTAATAGATTTCGATTTAAAGTACTTTTCACTAAAGAGGTTTGAAGTGTGGTCACATTCTGTTAATACCGTGAGATCGAAACAAAAAAAATAGAGTAGGCAGTGATTAAAGTCCTTCAGATGGCAAACCTGATTTTCGACATCAAATGTCAGCAGAAACTTTGACAAGTTTGCGTTTTATTCCTTTTGAGTGCAGTAATGTGCACTATAAAGCAGAATTTTTTTATTGCTGTACAATAGGAAAACCGTGGATGGTCATTTTCTCTTTCAGTGCCAGATTCCCAGCCAGTGTGTTGCCAACTGTAGAATTTAATCAACGCCTACTCTAATTTATTTATTATACGATCGCACGGTACATAAATGTGTTTCTACTTAGTTGGCAACCATAATTTGTTCAAAATTCTCTAGTTGGCAACACTGATTTATTAAAAATAATTAAAAAAAAATTCAAACAAATTACATAAACACACATGACCTCGGCTCCCTGATCTACAAAAAAGCGCTCACTAGGTATAAAAACTAATTTTTAAATTGACAATGATAGCAACTTTTATTTATTTTTTGGCGTTAGACAATTGACAACACTGATTTTGGAAATACATATAGTTGGCAACTCTGGATTATTTAAACATCCATTGTTGGCAACACTATATTCAAATTGACAAGAAGATATTCGACAATTGGCAACACTGAATATGGAACATTTGAATATACACAGTTGGCAACAATGAATTTTTTGAATATCTATTGTTAGCAACACTGAATTCAGTGTTATTTTTTTGATTATACATTGATATTGATTTGACTAAAATAAATACGTCTTTTTTGGCAATACTAAGGGGTCAGTTTCATGGTGAGTTAAACAGACTTTAAAATTAATGTGGATTTAAAATGTAAAATTTGTGTCAAAAACACTATAGTAAACAGCATATTCTACACAACATTTAATTTAATGCTCCTTTTTAAATTCGATTAAGAAACTGGTCCTAAATTCTGACTATATTTAAGTCAATTAAAAAAAATAATTTTCTACATTTGGCATCACTTAATGTCTCTCAAAAAAATTAAGTGTTAGCGTTGGCAACCCTGAAATATGAAATATTTTTCTTCCCACAGTTGGCAACAACGAACATCAAACTCCATTTCTTCTTACTATTGGCAACCATGATCTTAAAAGAATTTAATTTTTCTTAAGTTAGAAGCACTGTCATTTATTTATACAAATGCAAGTCTTTTATATGAGCATGTTATACGTTTTCGTTCATTATCTGTTTATCAAAAACATTTATATTAGTTATATTTAGTTATATTAAAACCTATTGGCTCGAAAACATGAATGCTGATCAAACTCAAAAATTTTGCTTCGCTCTGGTGGCGACACTGGTTGTCATTTAAATTTTACTATTGGTATCACTACTTGTAAGGCCAAGCGGAATTCGCAATTAAAAATTTCAAAAAAACTACTAAAAAAAGAGCAATTCAGTCCGTAAGTGTTAAATTGCGCCGAAATTTTCTGATTTCCATGATTTTTGTTAGTAGGTTTCGGCCTTGAACCGAACGATAACTAATCAAACTTGCACATTATGAGCATATTTTGAAAAAAACTAAAAAATTCCACTATAGCTTTTCACAAAATACACACAGGATGCACAAGAATAATTGAAATAAAAAAATAAACTGCAATATAAAAAACTTACTGCTTAATCGATGGCCTTTCACTATTATTTTCCACAGAAAGAGTTTGGGGAGGTTCTTCAGAGTCATCAGAATCCAATTCGCTATCATCTCCTTCTGCTTCATCTTTGTCGCTTGAATCAGCGTCTTCACACGTAAGTGACGGGTCGATGTTCTTTTCTTTCAATGCAGAAGTAGCAACTTTTTCTGTAAAACAAACGATTTAAACATTCTTTTCTTGTTCACAAACAACAAACATTATACTATCTTACTCTTTTTTTGCGATTGTTTTGGTTCAATTTTAATGGGTTGACCATCCATGGTATGAGTACCGTTCATGTTGGGAAAACAAATAATCGCGAGGAACCAATGGCAATTTTCATTAATCGGAACTATGATGAAATCTTTTTCAAAAATGTTAACGTTTTTGGTCCAGGTTTTAACGCGACTATGTCTTTTCTGTGCTGGACTTAAATTAGGATCAATCTCTGTTGGTTGAGATTTTCTGGAAGCCTTTAACGGCTTTGTTGTTAGTCTTTTATAGAAGAATGTTGAAAATATGTGAACTTTATCCTGATGTTCTTTCGGTAAATTTAGTAACAAATACTTTAAGTAAAAATCAATAATAACATCATTTAAAAACTGATCTTGGCCCAGACACATGTAGTCTTCTGTATTAATTGTGATTCTACCTCTTCCTTCGGCCGGGTACATCAATATTGGTTTGATTTCTGAAACACTACTAGAAATATGAATTAAACGTCAGCCTAATATTTACAAATAATACCTGTAACTCAAAACCGACTTTGATAATTCTTTCGGACATGTTTTAATAAGAATATCGTTGGCCTCTTTGTAAGTCAGTTCATCTAGCAAACAATTCTTCAAATAAATTTTTTGTAAAACAAGTTTTGACTCTTCAGAAAGCGTCTCTGGTAGTAATGTTATCCTCCTGTGTGCTTCTTCGATTTCAGACAGAGGATCAAAATAATAATCCGAACCTAGAGTCATATCTAATGCAGTTCGAACCATAGCACCAACTGAAGGTAATAAATAGTAAAACAACACTGGGAGAGACTTTTGAAAACTTATCAACACTTTAACAATATCTGAACTTTCAATTTTTATTATTTTTATTGTGTTTTCTACTTTCGGGTGGGGCACTTTTAAAATGACACCGTTTGAGTCAACTCGAATCTAAAAAAGAGAATAAGTTTTCGTCACTAAATTTTTTTTTACTTACTGGTTCAGGCGGAACAAACCGGTATGACCCTATTCGTACAGTTCTACACAGCAATAAAGTACTATTCACTTGTTCAAAAGGAACTTTTTCGGAACCTGAAACACAAACTAAGCATTATTATCTTCGACGACTTTATTGTTGTACCTCTGATTGTCATACTGCTTTTTTGGATATCCACAATTGAAGGTTCTTTCGAAATAGGACTTATTGTTACTGCAGCACCTAACTTTTCTAACAATTGTTCACTCACCTACAAACAAGTTTGCTAAAGCTAGAAGCAAGGAGTTGGTATATTTACATTCTTAACAGGAGTTTTCTTTTCGCTTTCTTCCTCGTCTGAACTTACAACGACGGTTTCACATTCTAGTAATTTAGGTTTTGATGGACGTTTTTTCGGTAGTAAGTTCATTCTCGGAATTCCTAAAAATATTTAAAGATAAATATGTTGTTATGGTAATTAGAAGTGACAATTTAAAAATTTGGTAAAATGAAAACCCTTTATTAAAAAAATAAAATTATTAACATTTTAGCTATTGCGAATGGATTACGTCATTGCTCAGATTTGTACTCATGTATCATTTGCAATGAAAAACATTCAGATTAGGTTTATTTTCAAATGGTTTATCAGACATCATATCCAAGTATGGAGTGTGATATTTTACATAATATTTGTTAAGACTTTCTTTGTTGTTAATATTTAACCAAAGCAACTTTAAAAGACAACAGATTCAAAAACTGAAAATTATAAGAACATAAGTCGTCCTGCTTAATGCAAAAACACGTCAAAGTTTCAAAAGAAAAAAAATTGATTTTTCAATGAACCTAATAAGCAAATAAATTTCCTTGAAAAACGTTTAAATGTTTAAATCATACCGTTAGTTTTTTGTATTGCCAGCCTCTTCTCAATTAACCCACTTCTCGGATCGACTTTTTTCCCATTACTATTGACAGCAGGAACTGATTTAACATTTTCTGGCAATTTCCTTTTACACCTCATACATTTATTAAAATCTTCAGATAAGTAACCACAAATTTGACAAACTGCCAAAAGCCCTTCGATTATTTTAGGCGGTAATTCTTTAGGTGGTTCTGGTGAAGGTGGTTTAGGTGATGACTCCACAAGAGGTGGTGGTTCTTGCTCGATTACTTGTAGAACCTGTTGTTGTCCATATTCATTTTCCAGAGTTATTTCTTCCTGTTAGCAAAATTAGGAATAAAACCAACCAATTTTTTTCCAACTTACAGGAGGATCCAGAGAAAAACCAGGAACGTTACCAACAGCAACAAGATAATTTAAACCATTTGAATTAGCTTCCGAGACTTGAATTGGAGTGTCTTTCGTAAATGGTACTCCGACTTGTTCGAGAATTTCCTGAATTGTGCAAGCTTCTTTAGGTAGGGTAAATGTGATAAGTCTTTGCTCTCCGTTGTCCAATAAAACCAACATACGTATCGAATCAGAATATTCTTCACTTTTGGGTGCACTGTCTATATAGAAATCAATTTTAAAAGAACACGTACTCGAAAATTCACTCTATTTGTCTTACCAATAATATTTTGAATTTGACTCGTGTGCAAAAACTGCGGCAAAGGCCGTTGAATTTGCGGTTTGCTATCCCGTTGTCTCGGTTGAATCAGAAACTGATTTTGAGATTCTTGGACCGGCAAAGCTCTATTCATTTGGTGCTGTCTTTGAGGCATTTGGTTTTGAAATTGTGTTGGATTTTGCTTAATTGGTGTTGACTTGTGTTCTTCATAACGTTCTTCCAACGACGGTACATAAGCAGCGTTATTGCGATTCAATCGAATCGGTTGTTTAGGTTTTGCATTTCTAGGTGGTTGTTTATTGTTAATTACAGGTCGAGGTTTGCGTTGTTGAAAACTTGTGATGTTTTGTGTCACGAGTCTGTAAGACACAGAATGCATGTTTGAACTGTTTTGTTTATCAAAATAATTCCTCTAGATACATGCGATTAATTATATAATCAATAAATGAATAAAATGGCTATTGATGAATGATAAAACACTACATTTTTGTTTGATGGCTGCTCACTTTAATTAAATATTTAAACTTTATTGAACGCTTTTCTTCGAAGTATAAATTCCGATACTACACGGTTAGTCCTAATTTAATTTTTCAGTGAAAGAACGTCTGGTTTGTCAATATTTAAATGCAAGTGAATAAATTTCCATGGTCAGAGTGATACTGACACAATGGAGTGCAAATACCACCAACAATACAAAAAATGAGACATTTGGTTAGTTCTGATATTTTTAAAATTCCTTTGAAAGTTCCCTAATATTTTCTACACAGAAAAATTAACAAATAACACAAAAAAGATTCTGATAATCTTTCTGCAAATTGTAATTTGAATACATTTAAACATTTAAGGTAAGAAAATGTTTCGATTCACAAGATTCACTTGAACTTGTAAGCAACATTTAATAACAAAAATAATAACTCATATAGGTACTTTTTGCATAACTTGGGTTAACAGAGATAGGCAGTGACTTGTCATAATGGTCCCAAAATGTTTTCCAAACATATTTTTACAACTATTAACTAGTGCATAAATATAAACCTACTTCTGATGTTCGAAGAAGGTATATATTTCATGTCCTACTAAATAAAAAAAGTACAAAAACCATTATGGAAAAGCTTAAATATTAATTGACTGGTTGTTGGCCACTGTTTTGCGTATGAGAAAGACTTGATTTTAACACAAAAATATCCACAAATAATAATTTTCTTCTTTAACGTGTATACTTACTCTTTCACTTTAAAAGACATCACAGAACAGCTGATTGCCGCCATATTTGTTTATCTGTCAAGTGGCAAATAAGCGCGTTGAACTACAGCGAATTTCAAGTGTTTATTATTGACAACGACCCTTATTTGATAAAACAATTATAAAATACAAACTCACCTTTCTTGTATTACTTGATTTTGTTTTTGCTGCGTGATGATTTTTCTATATTGAGAGTAACTCAACATTCTTTCATCCCTTAAAGTTACAGTTTCTTCGTCTTCATTGTCAGCCTGAAAAACAACAATGAGTCAAATGTATTTAAGAAAGTTAAATGTGTAGTACTTCATCATCATTGAGATTACTTTGAAAATTCTGTGATGCGTCCTTTGAGATCATTTTCTGAAAAAAATGAAATGAATAATAATAAAAAGCTTGTTTTGATCAAAACTAGTTACTTGTGGTGTTGTTTGTAAAGCCCTTGCATTCACGATATTATTCTGTTTGGTAGCAGCTTTGATTTGATTCCTCATTTGCACAATATTCTTGTCTTGTATAACTGATGCATTAATGACTCCTGTCTGATGCATGGGATTGTTGACTTTTGACATCTGATTTTGCATAAGCTGGTGGTTCAAAACCACCGGTTGTTGGGTAATTGATTGTTCCACTACTACTGGATGGTTAGGTGAGGTGTTTGTCATGTAATACACTTGCTGTTGATTGTTTGGAAAATCTATTCCTGAAGTTTCTTGAATGACATAGGAGGGAGATTGGTAAGCCACTTGAGACTGATCAATTATTACTTGTTGCCCCTGTCCTTCAACGACCATCAGATCAGAAGAAACAACTACAGGTTGGGCTTGGAACTGCTGCTGAGTGCCGTCTGATGCAATAACGTATTGAACTGTTTGGTTGTCTTCAAGATTTGGATAAAACTGTGCCACTTCTTCGTTGCTTTTATCATCTTGAGATAACACACGGTAATATTGAGCCATTCTTTTCACTTACAGCAAACATGAAAGCATTGTGGGCACAAAAATCTAAAAGCATGATTTCATTTTAAGTATTTAACTCGAGTCACAAAATAATTAAGAAAACGTGCAACAAACGATTCACAAATCACGTTATACAATGAGGTGCAACATGTTACATTGTTAAATTCGCGTAAACCCAACTTACCTCAATGAAAACAAATAATACTTCGAAATGTGACGATTTACTTCACAAATCGTTTATTCCGCACTAAAATCGTCCGAAAAAACTCACTTTTATCACAAAATTCTAATGAAACTGCTAGCCATGTAAAATGGCGTGTCAAGTCGGCCACTACTACAGCGCCTCTAATTAAGAAAATAATAATTTAATATTACATCCAATCATCAGATTTTGTTTCTTATTAGCAAATACTAGTCATCACGGCACAAAAATTTACCAAAAACATTTTATTTGATCACAAACTATCCCAAAACTCGAAAGCATTGTGAAGCTATTTGCGGTGTTGTCACGTTTCTTGCGCCGATTCACCATCAAGTTGTTGTTTAGCGGGAAATTCAAAATTGCATCAAAGCACCAATGGGAATAATTTTAGTTGGCACGTGATAACTTTTGGTTTTGTTATTGGTGTTTTGTTAGTTTACACGTTACTATGGAAACGATATTTTGTCCTGTTATTGGTTGAACGATTGTTTTGTTTTGAACGCGCGATTAATTCAAATTTCTAACCTAATTTTGCCAACGTGAGGTATGACATTTGTCAAAAACATAATTCAAGGTTATAATTTTATTACAACCAAGCTATAAAAAATCTCCAAGTGTAACATAAAACTAAAATACATTTATTATTTTACACTGATTAAGCCTTAAGTTTTTACATAAACCTAGGAATTGGACACAATAATATAAAGCACTTTAAATTTAAATGTGATTGGGAATAAAAATAATGTTATCACGAATTATAAATTTATTCAGCTTGTCTTAGCCTTGCAAGTCGTTGAGTGAGTTCGTCTTGTTCTTGCGATACTTCGCTTGGTGTTCCTATAGTGCTGCCTTCGACTCCTGATGGGAGCTCCAAATTCAACTCCAACCTAAAATTGCCAAAATTAATGGTATTTGTTGTAAATAAATCTCAATTTCTTACCCAGCCTCATCAGCAACTTCATGTAAAAGTGAATCAACCTCATTCTGTGGAATAAGAGTGGTTGTGGTTTGTGACATGGTGTTTTCAAGGACGTCGGTTTGAACTCCAAGATCTTCAAATTGCTGCTCAAATTTATCCATAACGTTTGAAATTTTTTCAAGATTCATACTCTTCATAGCTGCATCCATTGCTTTGACTACACCTGTTAAAAAAAATAATTAAATAATAAAACCGAAGCATATAGAGTTTTGATTATCTACCTGCCATGTTATTTGTTACTTTTCTAGTCATTACAGCTGATTGTATTTTACTGGCAACAGCATCAACTCGTGCAGACATTTTTAAATAATTTATAGACTGATTTTTCTGTCTTATAGCGTTTTCAGCATGAATACGTGCAACTTCCATGTTACCCTTTTGAATTGCTTGCTTTGTTTTAGCTTTTTCTTGTTTTTCTTCCTTTTCGCATCGTTTTGAACTTCGTTGGAGTTCTTTAACGGCAAATTTCAAGTTGAATAAATGTTCTTAAAACAGTTAAGAAAAAATAAACAGAAAAATGAAGCAGTTTGATTGTTACAAACTGTCCTATTTAGAGAATTAGAAAATTTACAAATATAACCTAATTGTAAAAAGGATACTTTCCATGGCGGACGATGACATTTCATTACCCATTATTATTTGTTTAAAATTAAGACTTTATACCTTTTGCAAACTATTTATTGAGAAAATTATTGTATTTTTATAATAAACAAGTATGACAAATGTTTGACGTAAAATATTTTTGTTGATGACTAATATACAGTGCTGGCAATTAACAACAAGAAATGAACAATATTTCTTTGTTTCAAAGAAAATAAGAACATCTTTTATTAACATAAATAGGTCAAAAAATGCTTTACGCAATTAACTGTACAAATTTTCTTTTTCAAAATTCAATTAAAATAAGTTGAGAATTTTTATATATTGTGTTTAAATTTTTCTACTATTGGAAATCCTGTCAGGTGTCAAAAATCAATTCATTGTTGCCAAATAAAGAATCAAAAATAAACCAAATTAAAATGGCGGCTGTTATTCGTATAAAACGTAGGTTAGAAGACGAACCTTCCGAAACATTAATTTTGAATTGTAAAAAACGAAAAACCGATGCAAGCACACCAGATCAAGATGGTGAATTGTCCACTATTCTTAAATTTGCTGGAACTGTTAAAAATCAAGTGAGTCGCATCAACATAACCTAACTTTCTTTTAAGATGTTAAACGTTTTTTAGGACGATACTTTGTTAAATATAAAAAAACCGACTAAAATCGAGTTAGAGGAGCAATTTAAGAAGCATAATACAGATCTAAGCTCAAAATTGAGGTTGCAGAAGCAAGAAGACTCAAAAAAGAATCGTTATAAAGTAGTGAATTGTTTTCGGTCTCAGGCTGCGAATTTAGAAGAACCTAATCAGGAATTGAAACCTGAGTATACAATTTATGATATTGAAACGGAAAGTCATGATCAAATATCTAACGAATGTGACCAAAATTATGTTTATGATTTGTATTACACCACATCTGATGATCTTGGAGAATTGGAAGATTGTGTGAGGTGGGGTTTTTTAATTATTCGTGGGAATGTGATGATTAAATTTATCATAATTTGTAGCATGTATCCATACAATGACGTATTCATGTATGGTTCAATGAGAGATAATGGTTTGAACGATGCAGATTCTGATACTGATAGCGAAGACTCAAATGCTGAAAATTGTTGGAAAAACGACTATCCTGATGAGTCAGATATGGAAAGTGTCACTGAAGAAGATATGTTACAAGCAATGAAGAAATGTGATTTAAATGATCTCTCAAGTGATGATGGGGAAGAAGGCTTTGTTTATAGTATAGATAGTGAAGGTGCAGGATTTGAAGAAGATATAGATGATTCAGATGTACAAAGATATGGTGAAAGATATGCTAGATTTAAAGCCAAACATAAGAAAAATGTACAAACAACCGCGTTAGAACATGATCTGTATTATGGAGATATTGATGACGAAGAGTTTTATTATTAATTTTAGTGCATTTTATTATTGTGTCAACTTGTATAGGTTTTATAATAAATATTTTTTTATTTGATTTGATTATTACATAGTTTGTATGGTTTTCCTTAAATCGATCTATAGGTAATATTTGACAATGGAAGTGTACAATGTTCAGTATTATCACTTGTAAAGAAGAATAAAAAGTAAAATTTTTACCAATTGTTTGCCCTTTTATTGCATTAACCAGTTTTTTAGCTTTTACAATTTCCAATGAGACCTCCATTCCACTCTGTTTTTCTCATTTTGTATAACTGCCGAAAACAAGTCATGTCACGGTGAATTTGCGATAGTTAAGTAAAAAAAACAAAAGTTGGTATAAGGTTTATCAAATATGTTTTTGGACCATAATATATTTAAAAAATGAAATTTATTTATAAAAAATAATAATAATAATAAATTATTACCACAATAGTTAGATTATTAGTTAGTTTATTAAAATAAACTTTGTAGAAAACGGGTGTGTATACCTACAGACATTGCTTTAACTTCTTGCTGCTTTATTTTGCTTTCAATGTGCATATCTAATTTAGATTAAAATGGAGGGGAACGAGCTTAATTTGCGTTAAAAAAATATAAGCAATTTCTCTAACCAAGTGAAAAACGGTATCACAAGCAACTTGTTTTCTATCTTTGTGTATGTGGGTTTAGTTCTATTTGCTTTATCGTGTCGTTGCAAAATATTAGCTATATCGCGCGCTATCGCCGGCCGCTCGTGCATTTTTACCGAGATACGGGAATCATTTGCATAAGGCTATAATAAATAAACGAAGTTATCTGGGTGCATGGAATATATATGCATGGTCGGTTCAGATTACCTAGATTCGATAAGTGCAGCCACATATCGCCCCGCTGCCCACGGCCTTTTTTAAAACTAGCCACAACTCCCAACTATATACAAGGGGCGGTCACAATTTACCCATACATTCTCTTAATCACATGTTATTTGCACATCAAAACTTCTCATATTTTACCATTCATTTCTCAATTTAGATGTGCTTTTTGTTTTTTATATTGCAACGGGTGTTTTCAACGCCGTCCACCTGTTTCATCGTTTAAGCTGCTTAACTCAAAGTAAACTCCGTTTAAATTTTTATTGATGTGTACACTCACCTCGTGCATTCTTCAATTAATGTTTAGCTCTTTTAGACCTCTGACCTCAAACGCACCTTGCATGAAAAATGCAAATTAAAACCTGTATGGATTTTTATGTATTTTGCATAAATATTTAAAAAAAGAATCTAAATTACTTCTTGCGTTATTTGAACATAATCTTTTTGATCGAATCCTGTGTTATTTCACGCACTTGCAATTTATTAAACTTGATTACGGAAGGATCTATGAATAATAGGCACTTTAAGAACTAAGTTCAAGCTTTTTGCTAGATTTCTCTAGCATAAGTGATAGTTTATAATATCATAATCCATTATCTCGATTTCTAGCATTATCTATCAAATTTAGAAAAAAATTAAAAATTAACAATTTTTGTAATTTTGGTGCTCATTTAAAATCTATACGCTCTACACAAAATTTGGTAAGTAGCACAAATAGCTATTAGTTTTATTATTATCATTTATAATTAGTTGGTTAGTTTTAGGAAGGTGTAAGAATAAAGCAACTTAGTACAAATAAATAATTTATTGTCTCCAAGAAGGGCAATCACTGTATATATAACCTTCGGTAGGTGTTTTGAACACCAAACAACTATATAATAATAACATGAATTTACATGTACATATGCTATTTGAATTGCAACTCAAGACGTAGTCCCTCAAACGATATGAATGAAAGAGGCTTATATGCTTATGTAAGGTATGTACCTAGAAAATTCCGTTAAAAGAAAAATCGATCGTACACTACTGCTTTGGCATAACATTATTATTTCATATTAGTATGTTACAACTTATACCTATAAAAATATCCATAAATCTTTACTTTATACAAAACAAAGTCTAAAAACTTATTTATACACTCATAGTTAATGTAACGTATTGCGATTATGGGTCGCGAAAATCTACAAGATACATGATAACAAGTACGCGTATACAGAAGGACTGGCCCAGATTTCAACACTTAAAAAATCACCTGTTTTCCTCACTAGAACACTACATTTTACAATACCGAAGTTTCTGCCGCTCGTGTTGAATTATTATTGTTATTCGCAGTAGCGGCGGTTATTTCGCCCGCATGACTCGAACAGTAGAACTTCTTATGGGCGATGAACGTCGAATAATAGTTAAAAGAAATATCACAAGACTTGCAGTACTTCGGACCGGCTTTTGACGCTTCTTGCAAAATTTCCTCCTCTTGCTCTTTTTTCTTGACCTCTGCATCAGAATTTTTTTCTTTCGGCGAATCGTCAATCGATGCGATTATGACTTCAGGCTCTATGGCTTCTTTTTTAATGACGATGTCATCGTCGTCCAATGACGGCATTGACCGGGTGGTGGATTTCTCGGAGGAGCCGTTGACGGTGACTTCTTCGGGCTCGCGGGGGCTGTGCGCAATTTTCGCATGGCGTAAAACATTCGCTTTGTAAGGGGAGCTATACATGCATTGAGTGCAGTGGTGCAATGACTCAACGCGCCCTTCCGAACTGGGAGACGCCGCCCGATCGTCGGTCACGCCGGGGGCACTCGTCGCCGGAGACACGTTCACTTCCACCACATTTGCGCCATCGTCTTCCAAGATATATGTTATGTACTTTTCCTCCTGGAAAAAAATATACACGTCAGTCAAGTCATTAATTAAATACAGAGTGTAAAAAAAATGTTAATTATTTGAGGAGATAATAGTATTGGACCAAAATAAACGAAAAAGTCTTAACAAACATAAAGTTTTTGAATTTCTACTACAAGCTTCTCTTTTTTGTTTGAACAGTTTGCAAATAAATGTTTCAAAAAACGAATAATCTTTGATATCTCTGAAATCGGTACTTTGCGGACCCATGATTATTTATCATTTATATCATTTCTGTCTTGTTTTACATTGTAATAAGAATTATGATACAAAAAATACATATTAAACATCACACCAGAATTCAAAAAACATTAAAAACTTGTAAGGATATTAAAAAAAAAAGAAAATAGCATAAGAGCTTTACAACATGAAGACGCATAAACGAAAAAAAAAAAAAAAATTGAAATTGTCAAGTAGATCTTCCGAATTTCTTGTATCTTTTTTATTATCTTCACCTTCTTTAGTTTTTTATTTGATTTTCATGTTTTACGTTTTTTTGTCCTCTAAATTTTTTGTTATATCTTTTCCCAATGGTTAAATTACAGTTTCAGATTTTGTTTTAAGTACTGTTTCTCCTTTTCTTAGATAAATATGTAATAAGTTTTTTTCTTAATTTTTTGTGTTGCCGGATTGGTTTTCTTTTTTTATTATGCCACGACAATTTTTTGATTCTACTTACGTATATTATTCTTAAATTTCACTTCTTTATTTCGCATTTTTATTAAAATACTTCTTTTCATCATTTTCTTCAGATTGGGTTTTCAAGTTTTTATTTAATCCAAAACACTTCAAGTAGACTTTAAAATCGGTCAAGTCGGTGGCAAAACAAATAAAACCACACTTTTTTCATTTATAAATATTAGTCCTTAATAACGATAGTTACAATAGGCTAAAATACGTAAAGCTAAAACATTTCAAGTGGACGTAAATCCGTTCTTGTTGGTGTCAAAATTAAATAAACTACAAATTTTTAGTTTTTTAAAATAATAATAATAATGGCACTAATCATAGGTCGAAAAGTACGTAAAACACTAAACAAGAGATTTCAAGTGTCAAAATTACACAAAAGCAGTAACTATTTTTTGTTTTACATTGTGATAAGAGAATAATATACAAAAAATACACATTACAGACCTAATTTCTAAAAACTTTAAAAAATTGTAACAATATTAAAAAAAGGAAAAAAGAAGCATAAGAGCTTTACAATATTCGGTACGTAATATGTAAGACGTATGACCAAAAAAGAATAAAATTTAAGAAACTGGGAATTAAATCTTCATCATCAGTTTCATTTTCCTTAGTTTTTTCGACAACCTCAGTTTTTATTTGAGTTTCTCGCTTTGATTTTTTTTGTTCTTTAAATTGTTAATTATTAAGATTTTTTGTTTGTTTTGGTACATACAATTACCTCCTAAAATATTTTACAATCCTTTTTTAACACCCTATATAAATACGTGTAAAATGTCCAGTTTGGTAGAACTGCACATGATAAATAATAGTTTCAAACAAGCAATTTTTTTTTCGTATTAGGTTTGCGAAACAACTTTTTTTAACGCGAGAATAATATGGCGAAAGCATTGGAGTAGGGTGAAAAAGCAATAATAATGATTACCTGTAAATCTGGCGAGCGTTTATCAAAATGCATTCTTATGTGGGTGCGCATTCCCCTCAAAGTGTTTCCCTTGTATCTGCAAATGGTGCATCTGTACGCCTTGACCCCCGTATGAGACTCCATGTGCCGCTGGGCGGCACTAGCCGTCGGACTGACCACATCACAGCACGGGCACTTCCATCCTGACAAAGGCCCTGCAGGAATGCATTGATGCCCAGGCTCAGCAATCCCTCGACACTTCCCACACCTCCTCACATCTAGCTCCCCTCGTTTCAAACAATAGTACGCTTGATGCGCGTTGAGATTATCCAAAGACGTGAACTTGATTCCACAAGCCAAACAAATCAATTGTTGGTACTGTCCTGCAGGACTCGTAGTACCCGCACTTCGAGGACTTACAGGAGGACTTCCTGATGTTTTCGACCCATCATCTTCCTGTGTTCTCGCCGAGCAGTAGTGCTTTTTATGAATGACGTAATTCTCGTGTTTGCAGAATACTATGTTACATTCTTTACATTTCGAGACTCCTTGCTTGACGAGGACTTGGGGGGCGACGGGAGGTAAAGTTGGAAGTTCGGCAAGTCGCATTTGGACTTCGGGGGAAAAAAGGGAAAGAGAACCGGCTCTCATTAAAAGGGGGTGCAGGCCTGGAGGAATGTCGTATATTGAAGAGTTGGTTTCGGGACTAGTTCTGGATCGTTCGTTTGTCGAGTTGGATTTTGGGGTCAAGCGGGATAATCGCGGACTGTTACTCCTGGAGGTTTCCTCGTGTTTGCGTTTGGGGGAAACACTTGGAACAGGAGAGACTCCAGTTTGGGATACTGGTGATCCGTGGATTGATGGCACACATTCGATTTTTTCAGGTGTTGGCGAGCGATTTTTCACGTTTTCTTTCTCGTGGTCGTCACCTAAATCAATGACAAGGTTCCTAAGTTCTGGAGATTTTCGTATACTGAGATCCAACGGTGCAGAAGTAGCTTCTCTATTGTTTTCCTTGGGTTTGTTTACTGATTTCAAGACTTCGGGTGGTTGTGGAGGCGGGTTATGATTGATGGCTTGGGTCATCGGTTGTAAGGTTCCGTTAGGTAAGAGGAAACAGGGGGTGTCGGGATTGGGTAAACCGGCAGCTGATGGAAGAATACCTGGAAGAACACTTGCGCTACGAAATAACGAATATGGCACAATTATGATTGGGTTAGTTGGTAATGCTAGGAAAGGTTGTTGGGGGATTTGACTGCCAGGGGATGGAGGCGTTCGACAAGTCGTGTCAATTGGCGATGTCGGAGACGATCCTGAGGTGCAACTTGAGGTTGTTTTTGCCGAGGATTTGACAATATGCCTTGAATTGCAATAGTGCATTTTGTGGGCCCTGTAGGTTTTTTGTGAACTGAAACGGATGTCGCATTCGGCGCAATAACGGTCTTGATTATCATTAGAGGCATCACCGTTGGGTATGGTTGTGGTTGTGGCCACATTAGCTGGACTAGGGGACACCGTATGCATCCTCATATGTCTATTGAGACTCACTTTCTTATCAGCACTGTAAGTGCAATGCGTACAAGTGTACTGTTTTCCGGTGCGAATGTTTTTAGTTGTGGGTTCGGAAGGGTCTTGGTCGGACTGACTCCCACTTGGTTCAACTCCAGTAACAGATTTCGCATCATCATCCGTGGGTTTACTCACTCTATGAGAGCAATAGTACGTCTGATGCGCTTCCAATGTACTCAATGATGAAAAGCGGATCCCACACGGTGGACAAATAAAGAGAGGAACACTCGGTTGTCTTGCAACTTCCGGGGTTTCACTCGGCCGATTTTCGGTCAAATTGGGTAAGAAAAAGCCTCGGGAGGCAAGTGCGTTGTGTATAGCCGAAGGCAACGCTGCTAGATATTCACTCGGAGACTGACTCGTTTCGATTTCCGTTTTGAGACTAGGAATGGTGACGTGTGATTGAAGCGCAGGATCCGTTGCAAGATTCGCTTTGAGTCTGATTCGTGGAGGTGACGAATCAGCTTCTGTTTTGATTGTGGTGGTTTTGGGATCGTCATCATCTGATTTTTCGGGTGTTTTGCTTCTGGCCGGAGGTGTGGTGGATGAGGGTTTGTCTTTTTCGGTGGCAGTAGTGTTTTCGTCAGTTTTGTTCACCCATGATTCCTCCCCTGAAACAAAATGCAAATGTTAACGGACGAGTGTCGTCGTTTTACCAGGAAACATGAGAAAAGATAGCATCGGCAGCGAGTACTTGATACTTGGAGGTGATACGTAATAAAATACTGCTCGGTTGGTTTAAGTTATTGCTGGTCTCCGATAGATGGGAACGGGAGAACAGGTTGGTACAAATGCATCAGTGATAAGAGCGAGCACTACACGGGTCGCGCATGTCGCAGCCCTCTTCTAATGAAGCAGTTCGTCAGGGCTACCCACGCATTGGTGCTACATACATCACTTCAGCAGTAACAACAAACTGGATTGAATCTCCCTCGAACCTCCCAGAAGTTTCTATTGTTGTTAATTTGGAAACAATGGCAATAACACAAGGCAAAAATGCCGATAGCGTTCCAGATTAAAAGATATTAGGAATTAATAAGACTCTGGATGGGAATTCTCGCGAACGATAACAATCTTTAATTAGAGTTCGGAATGTGTAGCCGAAGAGATTGGTATCTGGCGTATAGGTATAAGCAGGGTTGGCTCGCTTGAGTGTGTGTATGTAGAAGTGTAGTGCGTATGTGTGTGAACTGTCGATAGCATCGAAAACTGTTATTAATTACATAGCCTCCGGCTTGAACCAATATGTACAGAGCCGCCGTACGTAACAAACTGCATTAACCGGTGTCAATCAAGAGTGTTGCCGTAATATGGCCTCTTTCTCGTTAGTACCGTTTTACAACTTGTTAAGTGTCTCGCTGTTTACGTCAACAAACTGACTGACACGATACTACTACTGTGCAATTGAAATTCCATTTCTCTAAAAATACCCATATTCAGGAACTCTATCTAGATTACGGTTCAGATTTACTGGAAGATTTGAAGCAAATGGAATTGGTGAACATACAGCTAGGAATCACAGATTTTCTTTAAACTTTAGCCTTTAAATTCAATGAACCGCAAAACTAAGAAAAACAACTTTCATAATGCTACTGTTCTTCAGTTATTCGTAACATTTATCGAGTTATTTCACATTCAAACAATTCCAGGCCAAATTTTTTTTTTAGTTTTTTTAGAAAGATCAACTCAGGGTCGCCGCTAGAGGTTTTGACGCCCGTGTGCACATTTGAATTTGACACCCCTTGTTAGTTTGTTAAGAAAATATGGGTATACTTATTTTATTACATAGGTATGATACCTAAAAATATATAAGTGCCAATAAATAAAACAAAATAACAAAAAAAATATTTAATCAAAAATTAAATTTGTGATTTTAAAAACGCAAATAAGAAAATAAAACATAACATCATAGAAACTATAAATCCATAAAGAAATTGTATTTTCCTCACTTTGAAACTTGCAAACTCTGTAACCAGCTCCTTTATATCTAAATTATCTAACAGCTCTTGTTCAATTGCAATAATAGATTAGCTGCTAGCCTAGACTGAACCATGGTAAATCTTAAATAATTTTTAATGATTTTTAATTTAGAAAAGATCTTTTGCCAGACAAAACTGAATCTGGTAAGGAAAGTAAAATCCTTAATGTAATTGCTGTTTTAGGAAAAGTAGAAATTAAATTATTTTCAAAAAGATATTGTAAAATATTTGAAGGTTCTTGCATAGTTTTTTCGATGAAATGTATTTTTAAAGCTTTGAAAGTCTGAAATTTTTTAATAATTCTTCCGAAGAATTAAACATATTGACAACAAATCCAAATGTATCATTAAATGTATTTAGTTTTTCAAACCTATTATTTAAAGAAGACAAAACTTGATTCAAAATCCTGAAGAAAAGTTAGTTTTGAAATTATTTTTTGCATCTAGCACAACTTCGTCTTGATGTTTGTAATCAAAGAGTTGGTTTTCTTTTGGGCGTACAGTTTGCATCTTAGGAAAATTTGGTTCTACATTAAGTTGTCAGCAATTTTGTTTGCTTCAATCATTACATCTAAACGTATAATTAAAATAGGATTAAAAATTTTTAAAAATGGTACCAAGATTTTTTTTTTAATTGTAATACTTCCAAAAAAATCACTAATTTAAAAACAAATTTTCGACTACCACAAAGCACGAATCCACTAAGTAATAAAGCAAACTAATGAAAGGAAATAAGAAATTGGATGCGATCTTAGTATGTGTATTTTTTTAACCCAAAACTTCTAGGAAACTAGATAAAATTTGTTTTATTCAGAAGTCCAGATTCAGTTAACTTGCCGGCGCAATACCTTTATTAGAGTTCGAATATTGTAAGATGAACACCTTGAGTCATTGAAATCCAACAAGCCGTTTGAATGGCTCACGTTCGAACTCTAATCTCTGTAACAGGAAACGGCCACATGACTAGTTTTTTCACATAGGTAACGTTTTGTTTTTTTTGTTTCGTTGTATTTCTCTGGCAGTTTTTTTTGTTCACTGCGAAATTCAAAATGTCTTTTTTTTTATTAAATTTTGTTACTGTTTTGGTGCCCCCTTAACTCTGGCGCCCGCGTGCGTCGCACGCTTTGCACCCCCGCTTGTGGCGGCCCTGGATCAACTTTTCATTTCTATATCAAAGCAACAGAACATATAAGTATAGAGTGTTTCAAAAAGAGTGTTGATTGAAATCTTAAACCTAGTGGTAAAGTTTATGGAGCTAAAATACTGTTGATGTTAATAACGTCCAAATATGGCATTTAAAGCTATTTCTACTCTACGTGCAAATAAGTTTTGATGAGGACAATTTGTATTTGGGCAAATAGAAGAGGGTGTCCGGTTGAAATAATCTTGAAGGGGTGGCAGCGGGTGTGGGGGTGGTACGTAGTCCGGACAAATGAAAAACGGCATCCATTAGGCGAGATATGAAGTATGAATGCATTTCCAGTGAGGATTAATTCACCAAAAAAAGTTATCATTATCGGGACCTCGACTGCGGGGTCCATTATATAAGGAGAGAAGTCCGCTGGCTGGGGGCGGCGGGCCAGGTGATTAGTAGCTCAACCGGAGAGAGAGAGTGATTGAGTCCCGTCGAGATACGTGCGACGGAATAAACCATACCCGGCGGTGTTATCTGCTCTGGCAGCGTCGCTCCGGCCTTTTAATCATCCCTTAACACATTTCTCACCTTATCTCCCTAAACCTTTAAAAAAGTTTCGCTGGTGAGCTCGATAGCGCATAAAATGTCTGCAGATGACAGAGGTGTGCCCGCCGATTTAATGCGGATAGAATTCACAGATCAATTTTAGATTTGAAACGATTTATAACTTCCTCTTATACAGCGGCGGCAGTCGATAACATCTATCGATCACGCTACATTAGCATAAGACATTGATTTATAATTATACCGACAGCAAGAATACCCGCCGCCACCGACACCCGGACTTTTTCATGAATTGAGGAAACATCCACTTACCCCCACGAATCACAACACGTGCCGCCCCTAGCACAACAAATCTGCGCATCTCGCGCCTTTTTTCACACACTACAAAACAGACTGAAGCCTCTGAGAAACATTCTTATTGCGTTTTAATCACCATTATTCGCTTAATAACAGCAATTTACACTTCTTTAATAAATATGAAATTCCTAATTGGAAGGAAGGATTCATTATTTTAAAATTGCAGCAATTTTCATATCTTATGAACCATAGGAAGTCTAGTCAGTTTCAATTTTATCAAAACCAAGCGACTTAAATAATTAACCAAGGTGAGTGAATGAAATTGCAAACAATTCTCAGGACTGAGCTGGAGAAAAAAAAATACAAAACAAAACTAGTATTTTAGTTAAATATCGTTTAAATGAGCCACATGGGTGGCCAATTTAAAATTATTATAAGGCATTTTATTGTATTTACAATATGTTGGTATTATGTCGTATGTATATTTATAATGAAATTTTTACAAAATAGCTATTTAAAGTACAATTATTCTCAATTAATTGTTTTTATTAACTCAGATTTGCATGACAAATTGCAAAACAATTTTTGATCTTTTTTCACATCTTATAATTTCTGCTTAACTAATAAAATAAAAGGCCTCGATGGGAAACCTAATTATAAAAAGTGAACAATAAACTCTCAAACCGGTCCAGATTGGATGACTTTCCTCCGCAATTTTCTCTTTTTGTTCATTTGGTAATTGCATCCCTGCAGCTGTAGTAAGTTTAGTTTACAGTTGTGTTTTCAATTATTTATGTGGTAGTAAAGTCGTTTAATAGAAAGCGTATCAATAATGAGATATTCGTTAAGTTTAGCCATCTCATTCCGACATTATTGGTTCGATATCCATACGTTGATTATATTCCGGCGTAATACTTGTGAAAGAGCTCGATAAATGCATTGGCGTTTTCAGTAACGCCTTTGGATCGTTTCGGTTTGAATTAATTGCAAGCAGACAAAGCAGTATCGTCATATTGCAAACGTATTGACCTCGTTTAATTTTATATCCACTTGTATAACTCGCGAGATCCAGATAGCGATCGAGAGTGTTCCTTAACAGTCTTGGTGTGATGGGTTCAATAGCAGTCGGCGCCACGGTAAAAGAGTAGCAGTCAGTCCTCCATTCCTTCGAGATAATAGAGAAAAATTTCGATAAGGGACCATAAAAGCATTTAAATGATTAGTGGTAACGTCGATTTTTTATTTTTAGACTCAGTCTGGATGTTCGTTTGCGCCATCATCGATTGAATGAGATTCCATTAATCAACTAGAAATAACGAATTCTCTTTTTTGATTCCAATGGCCGGGAGCTGCAGACTAACACGTGTTCCGGGGAAGGTTAAGCTTTAGTGACGTTAATAATAGTGCGGCTGCGACACGGCCCACTAATAGTGGCTACCGTTCAACGCCCATCGCCCCAGGACCACTCTCGGATTAACATCACGAGATTTAAGAATGGCTTATCGAAGCCCAAAGCTGCTAATTTTTATGCCAGCAAAACCAACATCATCAATCTCACTCTCTTCTCTTCTTTTGCGAACTTTATGCTAAAAACGCAATTTCTGATTCAGCTAGAAAGCTCTGATCACAAAAACTGG